ACTGATGATCCACACTTGATAACATTGGAACTACAGTATAGAATGGTAAGTTAATGGCCATTTTGTAATTTCATGCTATAAAATATTATGGCTGTTTGTTATGCTGTTACTTATGTTGTATAGCCATAAACTATTTTATTTTGTGTAGCATTCATTCATATGCCAAGGACCATCAAATATTTTTTATGATGGTATATTGAAAGCTGATCAAATTGTTGAAGATAGAGGTCCACTAACTCAATCCATGGATTCGTTTTGGCCTAGAGGACAGCTACATCCTGTTTTATTTCTGAAAGTGTATGGAATGGAAAGATCTACAGATTACAAATATTCAAGAAAAGTTGATTCTCATTCTAAATGCAATGATGAGGAAGCTGAAGCTGTGGTAAGGTTTTTTATGCATTCTGTCATTTACTATTTGTGTTTGTGAAGCAGTTGCAATAAAAAATTATTTCAATTTTGCTTTTTTGTGATAGCTAAAATATATCAAAGTGTTAGTGAAAGAACATGATGTTAAACATGAGAGCATAGCAGTCCTCACTCCTTATGGTGCACAAAAGAATCTTGTTGCTGAAATGATAAAGAATGACTGTGAGCTAAAAACAAAGGAAAGTTTAAGTGTTGCTACTATAGTTGAGAGTCAAGGTACGTAAATATTAACCATAATTTATAATGTTAATTACTTTGTAAATTATGTAGGTGATGAGTATGATATTGTCATACTAACAACTGTCAGATCACAAGAAGTCAGTGAAATTAGGTATAAACAGTATGTTCAACCTGACAGACAATGGTTAAATGAAAATCTTGGTTTTCTGACTGATGATCATCAGATCAATGTTGGTATCACTCGTGCTAGATATGGGCTTATAATCATTGGTAAGGGATTGAGAGATAATTCTGAATGCAATAATTATGTGGTCATGTAATTAGGTAATGATATATTACTAAAGTATGATGCAACATGGAATAAGCTGATTGAAATTTATGAAAGTGAAGGATGCATTCGTACAGTATAGTTAGCAATAGTTTAAATTATTTTTGAAGCATCGGCTGATATATTTATGTAACATACTTGTATTTTAGATTAATTTTTATCTCCTTTTGATTAATATAAACGAAAAAATAATTATTATATTTTTATTATCTATGTGAATTAAAGTTTGCCACTTTTATAGAGTTGAATATTTAAGAACTGATGTGGAGCCCTTATTCCTGCAATAAAATTACTATTTACCTTTGTTCTGGCTTATTATTGTTAAATCAATAGGAATTGGTAGATCCATGGAAGTATATTTTTAATTTATGTGTATTTGTTGTGAATGGAGCCATATGTCTGGCATCATCAACAATGTAATTTTGATAGTGATCGTAAATTTTGAATGTTATGTGAGTAAGAATTGAGGAGGAGGATGTGTTTGGCACTCAACTTCATTATATGCAAGCATCACTATGATAACAGAGCAATGCAATACATACTATCACAAAATGTGGTACTATAATATGAAATGAGACAATAATATTAAAGGTAAGGTGAGTTTACACCAATTATTATGCTAGGCTTGACATTACGTTGAAACTAAATAAAATTTGGTTTATAATTCTAGAGAAAAGCAGGTCAAATCACCCCCCCCCCCACTTCTGATTAAAATTTACAGTACGCTAGCCTAGTGTCATACTTTAGCCTAAGAAAACAGTCATAATAATAAAACAACATTGAACCTATGAAATACATATATTATTGCACTTGAAGTTGATGTATAACAGGTAACTTAATGTCACTAAAAGAGTTTAATAGGGGCCTGTTAAAAATCTTCAGATACTCTTTTTAAGTGTACTGGAGGAATAGTAAATCCTGTTATATTGCCACTTGATTTATCAATTGGATCAAAATAGACCCATTTTCCTAAGATGGCTAATAATTCACCAGTTAAGCAAGGCAACAAATGTGATGGATAATACATCTATAAAATATGACAATTACATATAACATTATGATGCCTTGTAATACCTGCATTGATTGAACATCATGATAATAGAGATAAACACTCATCACTTGCCCACTGTAATTATAAGAGAGATACATTTCATTATTTTTAACAAAGATATTTGCTGTCACTACATTCAGTAGTGCCTTGTAGTGGCCAACATATATATTTGGATTGGGAGGAGCTGGCACAGGAGGAACATTGTCAGAAAGAAATGAAACAAATGGTGGCAAAAATATATCAAAGGCTTTTTTTGCAAAAGTACCGTCATCGACAGAGCCAGAAAATAGAGCATTAATTCCTACTTCAATGTAAACAATAATAAATGTAAAACAATGCTTACCTAAGTGAAGTTCAGGTATGAAGCTAAAAAGAGCTGAGTAACCATCAATGTTCCCTGCTTTCGTACGAATGGTGTAATTTCCATCAAATAAAATTTCCCACGGAG